TCCCAGTCAGCCTCAACACACCAGGTTTTCCCAGGCTGCCTCAACACACCAGGCTCTCCCAGTCAGCCTAAACACACCAGGCTCTCCCAGTCAGCTTCAACACACCAGGTTTTCCCAGGCTGCCTCAACACACCAGGCTCTCCCAGGCTGCCTCAACACACCAGGCTCTCCCAGTCAGCCTCAACACACCAGGCTTTCCTTGTCAATCTCCACTAGTCTGCTGGATCTCCTGCCTGCCCACAATCTCCTGCCAACTAGGCTTATCTCACCCTCTGGTCCTCCACAGAGAAACCTACAGAATACTACTTGTAGATCAGCAGCTGCACACTGCTGCCCACAGCATAACAGTAACTGTACGATGTTCACGCTGATTGGTTCCAATAGATACTTCCTTATCAGAAAACACACCTATACACTAGTTCAGGCAATACAAAATATGTATCACAGTAAAACACAACAATCTGACTTCAGATAAACACTGCCACTACAGAGAGAAGCCAGTTAAAAGAAACCAAGCAAATGACAATATCTGCAGAGCTAAAAAAATAACTGTGAAAACCACAATTTCTAATTATTCTGTGAAAAGCACCATGATGAAAAAAGATTGTGTGACAAAATACTGTATGCATAAAACAAAAAATAACATGCAAAAACTAGTTTCACGCTTTATTACTGACTCTGCCCTTTCATTGTTTTATAGTTTGTATTCTTCTATTGTACTTTAAAAAACATTCCTGCATCTTTCACTTACAGCTTTGAATTCTGAACTCAGCTTACTTTCCTCTTTGTAGGAGTAGTTTTCCAGATAATTTTTCATCAATTTATTGATGAGATTGATGTCTGGGGAATGAGATGGATGATCCATAACTTTAATCTTTTTTGCAGACTTTGCAGAATACTAGATCCTTTACCTACTGCAATCAAACTTCCATCGAATACGTCTTCTAGTACTGGCTAACATGTGAGAGTGATTTCTCTCATGTTTTACAATTTCTGCAGTAAGAAGGCCCCCGGTGAGTCAATAAAATTCCATACCACCACAAAACCTCCAGCATGTTCAGTACTGGGCATGAGGAATTATTTTTATATTTTTCTACTGTCTTACTTTGAACCTATTAAATTCAACAATTTCAAAAAGTAGTTTTAAAACTTTAGCCTTCTTCCCATGTTCAATGGAAAACTCCAGTTGCTTTATGTGCTTTTTAAAAGATGTACAGTATGTACTGCATTTTGATATATCTACAGACATTTATCTTGTGAATATATCATCAACATTTTCATTTGAGAATCTCATGACCATCTTCTCTCAATTATAGTGGGAGCTGTTTTCGCAGTATGCTAGGATTTTACTACACCTTTTCTCTCACATTTTATAAACATGTGACTCTGTCTTCCATACAAAAAACAATTATTTTCCTGTGTTTGCCTCAAGAACCCACTTTTTCAATAGTTTTTAATCTTTTTTTTAACTGATCAAATCATTTGGTGTGTGTCTGAACCCAAAAATATACATATACAGAACATTATTATACAGTATATTGTATGACTTTCATAATAAAATCAGAACTGTCCAAAAATATTTCCAGTACATAACAGTTAGGAAGCATCTACACTTCACATTTTCAGTTTTTAGATTAGAAGCTACCACACACAAAGCATTTTATGTGTCTGATGTAAACAGACATCCCTGTTTTCTCACAAATGTTACAATAAACTGTGCATGAACAGTGAGCCATTGTCCTGCTGTAGATAAACTGGTGTGAGGCCTTTTTACCTGTGGGACAGACCTGAGAAAGTTTACGGGTACGTACTTACAGGGTACATCCAAAACCTTTTAGTCACTGTCTTTGGAGTTACCCTGAAAGTACATACAGTACCTCTGAACAGAGCATTGTGTTCTACTGTATATATCTATCGATACTGGGATGCAGACACAGACTACTGATATTCTCCGGTCTTACCTTCCTGTGGCCAAATTCATTTAAGATCGTGGCCAGTTTCTTCGTGTTGCTGTGGAGCCTTTGGCCAAGAATAGCTGGATTAGGATCTCTCCAGTCCACAGAGATGCGATGGTACCACATGCGCAGCTCAGAGTCATGGAAGTGGGCCTGCTTAATACTGGGATCAAAGCAGTGGACCTCACACCCTCTCTTGGCCAAGCTCATTTCAAGATGCTTGTCGACAATCTCCAGCCTGAAAACACACAAAAAGCTGTTTGTCAATGTGGGCATTACTTCATTCACTCTTTCGTTTTGTATTTAAATGCCGAAGCACATGGAACACTAAATGAAATCCTGTTCCAAATCCAAATTCCAAAAGTGTTGAAAGGGAATCTTTGATAGTCTCATGAAGCAGGGAGATATAATTGAAAGATGACTGCATATCAGCAAAGGAGTATGAGTTTAAAGGAAGAGGAAGAAAGTGGAGATCAGGTTCTGGGTAAAGAATTAAATACACCATAGCCATATTCAGTGGGGTGTTATACACTGAAACATAAAATAGGGTTAAAATGAGAGGAGGGCATCTGGCCCATCTATCCCGTTTGGTCGTTAGAAGTTAAAAGATCCTAAGATCCTAACATTCCTGATTATTAGTAAACTACAGAATTCAGTTTTTCAAAGGTTTTTTTAGCAAGGCCTCTCTGTGGCCTGGACTGCAGAATAGTCCTATAGATTCCAGCTTGCAGAAATGCGGGGGAGATGGGCCTTCTTGTTAAACAACACCATGCTCTTCATGATGGGTGTCCAGCCATTGGCCCCTCTGTGTCTACAGTTACAGATGCCATCAGAACTGGCTGACAATCATCCATTAGATGAAAAACCATTTAGGAACTTATTGGGTGTAGAAAGCTTCTACACCTGATGACAACAACCAAACACCAGCTGTAATCTTGCAAATTTAAAAATCATTGCACAACTCTATTCTCTTGCTCTCCACTCTTAATCAAAACTTGGCAAGCTGACAATAAAACCATGTGTCTGCAACTGTTGGCTGAGCCTCGACTGAAACTTTTGTCCAAAATGCCACATTAGGAATTTGTCTGCCAGGATACAGCATCAGCAGGATTCTTTCCAATGCAAACATCATTGCTGGGTGGCACCAGGCCAGTAAGAGAGGACTGGACATTGCCCATTAGCTGTCTCCCTCTCTTCCTGAGTGGGGAGTTACAAATCAAAAGTCATTGTATATGTATGATTCATTATTCAGCATTATGAATCTCGAGACTAAGGTTGTTATCCTAAGTACATTTTGATATCATTAACTCACATTGGAATAAGTATTTACTTGTCTTTGAGTATTAAAATGTTCAATAGTTATATGAGACTGATTAACGACAATAAATTAGAACCAATGTTTAATCCTTACATTTTTCATATTTTTTCATAATCCTGATGTATTTGTATCTTGGTATCCCTGAAGTAAACGATCAGCCATTTTGTATCTCAGCAGAATGCAGAATGTTTCAAGTACGTTATTATTTTTGTGGTTTAATATGAACACGTGTTTATATCAATAAAAGCCTATATTTTGTATTTTGAATCAGTATGCAGACTGCTTATTATTCTGTCAATTGATTTCTAATAGCCAACAAAAGTATACACAATTCATTGTTACAAGTTCTAAATTGTGCCAGTAATTTCACACAACACTACAGCCGTCGTTTTTTAAAATAAGTCAAGAGTACAGTATCAGTCTTGACGACATGGTGGCAAGCCATGAAATCCAAAGGGAATCATTGATACTTATTAAGGTCTAAGGCCTCTTTATCTCTGTTTCAGCCGGAGGTTTTGAATGATTTGATAGCTTGAGAACATAAGAATGTAAAAAAGGTCACAAATGAGTGGAGAATTTTTAACCCATCTATCTCAATACCTAATTGACCCAAGGAATAATTGGTAATGAGGAGAAATGAGCCATTTGGTCCATACATTGGTTGTGTATCAGACATGTAACGAGTAATAGTCATACTCTGAACAAATCCCCACAACTCTGCCCAATTAACAGTTATAGTAGAAGCAAAACCTTATTAATATCAGGCCACACTGGGAACAAGACCTCTAAATTAGACAATTTAGCATAGCCAATCAAACTTAACATGTATTTATTCAAGAGACAGAGGACGTGGCGAAATCCCTTTCAAACATAGGGAGAGCATACAGACTCCAGAGTCTCTTTTTAGACTGAGAGCACTGTCACTAGAAGTAAGTCTGAAACTGCTCCTAATTCGTCTCCAGCTCCTCATTCTGGAGGGTATTAGAAACGCTAGCACCATTTTTGCCCTCTTATAACTGCAAGAGATATCTCCCCTCCAGCTCACATAAATAATAAGGGGAACATGCTGAATTTATGCATTTTCTAATCAGTGAAAGCTGTGCCTGCTGGAAGGCGAGAGTATGGTGAGCTAACGCTTTAGGTAAAGGCCTTTTGTAGCAGGGAGGCATTCCTTTCGCTTTAATTAAAGTCTGGCTGCCTGGAGAAATACACAATAAACAAAGTGAAATTGCAACCATCTGTGACTTAAACATGATGAAGCAAAAATCACTTGATAGGAGTGCTTTGTTTCAAAGTCAAGCTAAATTGTCTTCTATCTTCTAGTAAATATTCAATGTTATGCAGTGCTGGGCATGATTAATTACAAAATAAACGATTCAACTGTTTTTGGCCTATAGAGAAACATGACTGGCAGAATTTGGCAACAGTCCATTTTTGTCTTGGAATGGGGAGAAAGACCAAAAGAATCTGAGGATCTAAATTTCAAGGGAAAAACAAGGTTAATGCAGGAGAAGATTAGTGGGAACATTAATAGTGAAAAACTAAGAACATTAAAACATAAGAAAGGTTACAGATTAGGGGAGAGCATTAAGCCTATACAGATCATTGGTTTTCTAGTTTCGAATGGTATCAGAATCCCATTCACATGATTCTAGAAGTATCACATTCAACAACTTGAAAAACCAAACCAACTTGACAAGACAGCTGTACTGAATTATTCTTTATCTCAATCATCTACATGATTTTCTGTTGCATTTTTTAAAATGTTTTTTCAGGTCATCTCTGTACACCGAACTGTAAATACAGTGATTTGTATTCTTTATGTAAATATTTAACATTGTTAACACTGAGTTTCTGATTGAACCATCGCATCCCTGCACATGCTTATTTTTCAAAAAATAATACTTGCCAGTAGATTTTGCATTCAGCATGGGGTAAAAATAAGTAAAGTCCAGTAGTATGGCAAAAAAAAACTCTTGATGGTAAATTCGATTTCAGGATTTCAGGACACATGAAATGTGAGTTAAACAGGTTTAATGTCATCTGTCAAATGCATTATTGTATAATACTGTGTAATTATTCAGTTACAAACAAGGGCACACAGCAGGTCAATCGAAGCATGGGCTCAACAGCATCTGGGATTTTGGGTGGTTTTTGTTAAGGTATAGAGGAGCAGACAAAAGAGTTTTAAAAAATCCATGGAACTATGAATTCTTTGGTCACCAAAAACATTTGCAGCACGTTATCTACTGTTTTCATATCAGCTAGTAAAATCTGGCTACGGTCTGGAGCATTGTAAATTCAAATACCCCTGCTCCATCTTGGTGTGTTGATTATCAGATTATTACATATAGCATTATACAGAAACTCAGATTTATTGTTCAGTGAAAAGCCTCTTAACACTGCTGCTCTTGATCTGCTGAATGAGCCACTTGCTGTTGAAGGAAGAACGTGCTGAACCTCAGCATAGGGAACCTCCAGCCATCCATTTTTGAACCCCTTTATTTAGTACAGGGTTGTGGGAGAGCCGGAGTCTCATCATGTTAAAGAGTGTGGTGTGTACCCCAACACATTTCTTTTCTTTTCTTCTATTTGCTCCATTTCTTGAGCTCAGAAGCTGAATTCCTTACCCATTTGCAGTTGCAAGAGCACAGCTTTGCTTTCCCACAGCACTGCTCTGCATTCATTCAATCCCTTGGGAGACATTTTTTCATGGATCTTTCTGGCTATGATGAGCTCGAGATGCCAACACCCTCCTTTTGTCAAAACAATGCTCCCAAGCAGAAATCATAGCCTTTAATGTTGTTACCTTATAAAAGGTCTCTAAGGAGTTAACAGCAAACAGGCACTGTGAAACAGTTTCAGCCTTGGTAAATATTTCTGAGATACTAAGTTAATTGGGATAGCCTTGGGGATAACATTCCAAGTTGTAAATTTATGGGAGAACATATTCTTGTCTTTAATGGAAATTTCCTTTGGGATGCTGGGATTTCTTTGCCTCACCTAAAGATTTCAGAGAACGTAGCTACAACTGTATAACCTAATTACAGCAGTGAACTAATTCTTTAGGGAAAAGTTTAAATAAAAAAAAAATCAGACTATTCAACCATTTTGCTCATAGAATATTTTTTTTATCTTTTTTTGTTCTTGTGCAGTTGAGAAAATAAGTTTAAAGGCAGAATTACCAAGGTCTGTGGGAAAAATGAATTTGTATGTGTGGGGCTTTGGAAAAAAGTACTGTACAAGAAAATAAAAAAAAAACCTGTTATGCAGAGATGTAAGAAAACAGAAATTTAGAAGATGCTGATACCCTGGCTTCTTTCAAGAAATATCAGGACGGGATTCTTGGCTCTATTAGCTAATAAGGAACAAGTAATAGGTTTATTCCATGCTGAAAAAAGAAGAAAGAGAACACAATGTTTCAGCCATGGAGCCTTCTTCAGGTGTTATTTTTGGTCTTTTTGCAAAAGGCTTGAAAGACTAGGAACTCTTTATATAGTTTTGCTCTTCTGTACCATCGCAAAAAAATAAAAAGAAGGTGACAAAAGAAAGGAGGCCATGTGATAATTCAGTAGCACATAGATTATTCATCCAGAGATCTCACACTGTGTTTTCTTGAAGGATCTCAAAGAAACTGTTTCAACAACAAGGTCTGAAAGCTTGTTCTAGACACCCAAACTGTTAGTGTATTGTACTGTAGTCCTGAATGCTCATCCTCTCAATTACAACTTTTTTGACTTGTGGTTTAAATGTTGTTCTTCAATGTACTTCTAATTCATTGTCTGGGTAATTCATTATCTTAATTACTGGCAACAATTAGTACTTGTGATTAGGGTTCAAGCTGGAACAAACAGGGCCAGAAATGACAGCCATGGCACTAGGTGGATTATAAATACCAGTATCAAAAGCATCTGATAACA